TGGCAACTGTCATAAACAGATCTGTAGGACCGCTACGGGTACAAATAACGCCTTCACTTTTAATGGCAACTGTCATAAACAGATCTGTGGGACCGCTACGGGTACAAATAATGCCTTCACTTTTAATGGCAACTGTCATAAACAGATCTGTGGGACCGCTACGGGTACAAATAACGTCTTCACTTTTAATGGTAACTATCATAAACAGATCTGTGGGACCGCTACGGATACAAATAACGCCTTCACTTTTAATGGTAACTATCATAAACAGATCTGTGGGACCGCTACGGGTACAAATAACGCCTTCACTTTTAATGGTAACTATCATAAACAGACCTGTGGGACCGCTACGGGTACAAATAACGCCTTCACTTTTAATGGTAATTACTACAAACAGACCTGTGGGACCGCTACGGGTACAAGTAACGCCTTCACTTTTAATGGTAATTACTACAAACAGACCTGTGGGACCGCTACGGGTACAAAAATTGACCCACTTTTTACCAACGTCTTTGTTGGGTACACTGAAAATCGTATGTTTAATCAATACAATAGATGAATACCTATTATGTATAGTCATTACATTAACGAACTATTAAGGATTACAGCCATGCTAAAATCAGACGTATAACTTTTTTACACTACTTGTTTCCTTTTCACCCTTTTTCAGAATTTATATGGGAAATCTATTAGCATATACATACAAGACTCACCTAACCGCAAGTATACATTATAAGGAAACAAACTCACACACATACATTTCGAATCTTCCCGCCCGTTCAGTAACAAAAAGTCAATATCGTACTCACAATTTGTACGATTAACGATAAGTGATTATAAATCAAAAACAATAGGCAGGAAAATTTTTTTCTTTAAAAGAGGTTATCCTGACTCTGACATCCATGATATAGCCATCAAACTCACCTATTATTGCTTACATACAAGATACAAACCTATAATTAATCTTGGTATACAGTAACCTTAAACAAAAACATGATACTCTAGACACTGAAAGATGTAAACGAAACAGATGCTCACATATATACAAGAAAAAACACAGCTTTCAACATAAGACAGTCCTCTACATGCGATACCGAATGTATCCTTTATTGTAAAATTTGGAAAAAGTACTGCAGAACCAAGGTACGTCTATATTAAACTGCAGAACCAAAATACGTCTATATTAAACTACAGAACCAAAATACGTCTATATTAAACTACAGAACCAAGATACATCTATATTAAACTACAGAATCAAGATACGTCTATATTAAACTACAGAACCAAAATACGTTTATATTAAACTACAGAACCAAGATACGTCTATATTAAACTACAGAACCAAAATACGTCTATATTAAACTACAGAACCAAGATACGTCTATATTGAACTACAGAACCAAGATACGTCTATATTAAACTACAGAACCAAGATACGTCTGTAGGCAAACATTTTACCAACAACAACTATAAAATTGAGGACTTTCCGATTCTAGGACTTATACAAAATAGAAAATAACCTACGATTTGGGTACCCTACAACCATCTTTAAATAGACGTTTTTCTTTCTCATCGAATTTCATTTTTTTTTCATAATTTATTTCAATTTTAACTTTAATCTGTATTTTTCAAATAATTTTCTCTATTTTCCTTCATTTTCTATGACTTGCATAATATTTATGTAAAACATTTAATTTTGCAAAGAAAATTTATAAACAACGTTCAAAATATAATTTTGAAGTACTGCACGTGTAGTTTTGTTTCAAGCTGACAAAGAACTCTTGCTCGAAACGTGTTCTCTAAATAAATAAAAAAATTATAAAACTTGAAGGTTTTCTAACTTATTATCTAATATTTGATAGTGTGTGTCACAACCTTTCCATCTTGCACCTGGATACATGTGCTATTTGTTGCGTTTTTAATTATTATAAATTGTTTTTGTGATCTAGAAAACCACATATTTTACTGCGTCATTTTAATAAAGAATAACCTGGAATTTTCATGGTATGGTTTTTTTACTGTTTATCAGTTATCACATCCAGCTGTCACTTAAATCATGGCCCCCAGTGGCACAGCGGTATGTCTGCGGACTTCCAACGCTAGAGACCGGGTTTCGATACCGTGGTGGGCAGAGCACAGATAGCCCTTTGCGTAGCTTTGTACATAATTAAAAACAAACAAACAAACTTAAATCATGCATAAACTGTCCTCAGTGGGACAGAAGTAAGTTTATGGACTTACAACGCTAAAATACGGAGTTTGATTCCCTGCAGTGAACACAATAGACAGCTCAATGTGGCTTTGCTCTAAAAACAACCAATCCATAAAATTTTAAGTTTCATGCCCAATTTAATTATTTGATCTCAGCGCATAAAGACCATACGGCTCAGTTTTATAACTCACGTGATTTACTTACATCAGTATATCTTACAAACGAAAATGATTTGTCTTGTATGTTTTTTATTTTTTTTTATTGTTGTGATCACTGCGACCGTGTTTCTGCTTTATGCTATACAGTCAACAATGAAAAACTAAAGTGAAAATCAACCGTTGTGAAACATAGTTTATTATTTTGGAAACTATATGTATTTTTAATTCTGACAGCTATTCAGTAAAGTGCTTGGTTCAACAGTTTTTAATTAAAAGGACATTACTCATAAAGTAACAAGTTATCATTAAAACAAAAATTACCGATCCAAAGAATGAAAAAAAATATACGCTGTTAATCTTTTCTCCATATAATTGTGTGTGTGTTTGTCATAGCAAAACCACATCAGGCTATCTGCTGTGTCCACCGAGAGGAATCGAACTCCTGATTTTAACGTTGTAAATCCGAAGACTTACCGCTGTCCCACCGGGGGACTCCATATAATTGAATCATTAGGAAAGTAATTAAAGCACTGGTCTTTTAAGTGTAAAATATCCAATATTTTTCTTGAGTTACGACAACTTCATTATACCTATCACGTAGTGTGAACCACTCGTGAAGGTCAGCCAGTTGTAAGCTAGTGACATACCGAATACTGAACACTGTGCTCATTTTTGGAGAAATTATTTTAATAAACTTTATATAAGTTGAAATGAGTGAAGGAAAATTTCAATTATCAAATATGAGAAAAAATAGAAGTAAAAAGTCTAAATTACGTACTAAACCTATTAATCAAATGTAAAAAAACGGCTATTCTAATTTTGTGTTTGCTTTCTGTAAAGTTCTTATGTAACTCTCGTTTCACATTTCAGTTTTGTAACATTAAGATATTCACATAGTTTTAATTTACACCATAATTGAGTTGATATCGTAGCTTATAATACTGTACCTTAAAGCAACATGCTGGACTTACACAGCAACAATTGATTTAAAAGCACTTTCCAGTGTTAGATATTTTCAAGACATTTAACTTATTTCTCAATATTTATATATATTCTGTATTAAAATTTCTATCTATTCATTTTATAAAATAAAATATTAGGTTTTAAAGTTTAATTTTTTATTATTATATTTATAGGTGGTGTTTTCATTATTATTGGAACAGGAGTGGTTGTTGCTATTATCATAGTCACAGTAGAGTTCTGTTACTATAATAAATACAATCCCAGAAAGGACGCTAAGAAGAAGTTAGGCCAGCGACCTTAATTTCAACGATAGCATGGATGGTGATTTAAATTCTGACGAAATCAGCGGCTTTCAAAAGTGTTAATATATTTGATCGTTTCGCTTCTTTGCTGTATCTTAAGATTGTTCATCTCTGTTTATACTGTTACGTCTCCGTTTGTTAATTAACTTTCCGTAACTTCGTTCCGACAAAACTTTAGCGACACAAGTCCTTACTTAATAAAACTGGTTTATTCTTTCTGAATATAACTTCACGATACACTTGATTTCAACATTCGCGCTAAAACAAACGCTATAACGAACGTTAACTTCAACAATACACTCTCTGACTGCAGATCAATTACTCACTACCTACACACACACATTATTCTGTCACGTTGTCACCCTCTTTTATATACCAGTCTACTCTATATCTAGTAAATGCTAGAGCATTCGCCAAGGTATAGGATTGTTCTAGAAAGCAGAGGGCGTGAGAATAGTCACGTGATCTCGCTGACGCAACAATACATTTATTTTTTACAAGTATCAGAAACTCCGTTTGATTACATAACTTAAATACCTTGAATAAAAGTTAGTAAACACTGTACATTAAAATCAAGGGATTACGTAACAAAATAACCATTAAATAAAAGTCAGCAAATACTGTAAATTAAAATCAAGGGATTACGTAACAAAATAACCATTAAATAAAAGTCAGTAAATACTGTACATTAAAATCAAGGGATTACGTAACAAAATAACCATTAGATAAAATTCAGTAAACACTGCACATTAAAATCAAGGGATTACAAACAAAATCACTATTAAATATATTGAGTAAAAGTCTCTAAACACTGTACATTAAAATCAAGAAATTACACAACAAAATAACCCTAAAATAGCTTGAATAAAAAAGTCAGTAAAGGTTGTACCTTAAAATCAAGGGTTTCTGCTCGAAGCTGTTGAGTTTACCTTCGAGCGGCATCTCTCTCTCTCTCTCCGGATCGGGATTTAGGTCTTTTACGACCTAGGAGGGTCAGGTTCTAGTACTGTTATTATTTTGCTATCTTCTTGGGTTTGGGTTGGCTGGTTTGATTTGTTAAATTCTATTACCACTTTTATTTTCAGGGCCATGTCCGTTTTATGTTTTCAAGTTGTGTGTGTAGCCTTATGTTTGCTTGGTATTTGAGTTTGAGTTCTGTGATGTTTGTGGTAGTGAGAGTAATTGTGCTATCTGTGGTAATATTGGTAGTAGTTGTTCTAGCACTATTTTCATGATTATTGTGATGCAATCCTCTTGGTTTTGGGGGTTTCTATATTTTTCCAGAAATTTGTAAAATATGTTTGTGACTGCCACTGTTATTTTGTTTGTTAATTCTTCTGTTTCAGCATTTATGGGTTTAGTGTTTTTCTTTTGTTTTGTGGTTTCTTCAATTTGGGTGTGGGGTTTTACTGCCTGTGCAAATGTTAGTGTGGTAAATTGTTTGTTTGTGTTGGTAGCAATGGTGTTTTTCTTTGTGTACTGTTTTCTTCGTGATTTTGTGCTTGTGTTGTTTTGAATATTAATTATTCGTGCTTTGATATTTTTGTATTTTAGACATCCTTTGTAGTTTGCCGTGTGTTGCTGTTGGCAGTTACAGCAGTATGGCTGTGGGGTATTTCGTGGACATTCATTGTTTCTGTGATCTCCCCCACACCCTACGTAGCGTGGGAGAGCTTTACATGCGGCTGATACATGTCCATAGCGTTGGCAGTTGTAACACTGGGTTACTACCGCTGGTATTTTAGTGGGTTCTACTGCGTATTTTCGGTACCAGAGAATAATACTATTAGATATTACACTCTGTATATCTTGTGTTTCTTGTAAGTGTGCTTTGATTAGGTTTGTGTGTTTATGTGTTTTGTTAGAGATAATACGTTCAACTTTCGTGACTAGTATGTTTTTGTGTGTGAGTTCTGTTTCTATATCTTTTATAACGAATGATTTGTGGTTTGGTTTGCTTCCTGGTATGTGTACTGTGATGTTTCCGGGTTCAAATGCGTCTTGGGGCCATTCCTTCAATAGACGGTTAAGGTTAACAGCCTCTGACCCTTTAACTAGGGCGCCGCCCTTGGCTAGACGTTTTATTGTTGTTATATGTACTTGCATCTCTTGATTTCAGCTGCAGGTTGTGGTTCCCTATACTGTGCTGGAATTCCTTGAATTATTATTGAGTGTTGTGGTGTATTTTTGTGTGTTGCGTTTGTTTGAGTGATCGTGTTTTGTGTTGTCAGTTTTCTTATTTTCTTCGGCTTTACCATGATGAAATCATTTAAATCTTCATGCGTTTGTGATGTTTCTTGTGATGCTTTAGTATTTTTCTTCGTTTGCTTCTTTTTGTTTTTGTTTCTCTAGTTGTTCATGTATGTTTTCGTGTGCTTCTTTATGTTGTGTGTGTGAGTTGGTGTTTGGATGTATTCTTCTTTGTGTTCGTCTAATTTTGATGTTTCTGCGTGTTTTTCTTCTGGTTCTGGAGTGTTTGTGATTTCCATATCTGAGTTAACTATTTGTGTGTTTCTTTTTGTAGGCTTAGTAGGTTTTGTTTCCATTTCTCTCTCATTCGTTCATTGTCCTTTATTTGCTAGGGTTACTAGTTGTGTAAGTTGTGGGTTAAAATAATCTAGCGGATCTAGAAACAAACCAGCCTTCCCTGAAGCGCTACTCTTACTTGGCTTTGACATTGATCCCCGCCACTGGTGGTTAAAGTGATAACTCTGTCGGCATACGTTTTTCTATCTCGCTCGCTAGGTTGTGCTGCACCTCTTTCTTCGTTCACTCTTCGAGCGGCATACAAATGGTTTGCTTGTGTTTTTTTTTTAATTTCGCGCAAAGCTACACGAGGGTTATCTGCGCTAGCCGTCCCTAATTTAGCAGTGTAAAACTAGAGGGAAGGCAGCTAATCATCACCAACGAATAGTGGGATTGACCGTCACGGCTGAAAGGGCGAGCATGTTTGGTTGGATGGCGATTCGAACCCGCGAACATCAGATTGCGACTCGAGCGCGCTAACCGCCGGGCCACATACAAATGGTATATAATATTAATGCTTTCTTTGTCATATTCACTAGTTAAATCAAGAAACACTGGATTGTATTCTCGTTGACTGCCATCGTTGATGAAATAGAAATAACAATATTTAGGATATTTATATTAACTCATTAGAAGCGGGATTAAATTAAATTTCCTTATATTATGTTATGATTTATTCAGTTTTTTTTTCTTTTATATTCCATAAAGTAATATTTATGAAGCTGAAAATTGAGGAGCAAACATAATTTAAAGCATACTTATATTGAAGAGAAAGAAATCAAATTTATATTGGTCATGAGCAGTAATTAGACTTCTCTATTTCTCTTTTTATTTCTGAATTTAGATTTTTGTGTTATCAGTTCTGCTTTAGTTAATTTTTACAGTTTAAGAAAACTGGTTCTTCTCATTAAAATATTGCCAACTACGTACGCTAGATTTTATTTACTCTATTCTGGTGCAGGAAACGTACAGGTTTGGAACTATTATTTCGTTAATCTAACAAACTTTCATACTTGTGCACTACAAGTATTTTTAATAGCACCGCGAAGTGTTTTGTACTCAATAACCCTTATTGCAATTGTCAGTTTTAACGTACAGTAATTATTCTATTTTATGCAGTCAGTTAGGGTCTCCTGTATGTCATTTGGAATTCTATATTAATTTAAAACCTATGTTTGACATAAACAACACTTAATATTCAAATAAAGCTAAACGTAAGGCTAGGTAAAATCCCCGAGAACCGTTCTGCTATATGATTTATCCAATGTTTATATACTTTGTTTTCTAACGTTCTTATGGCCTGGTCAAGAGTTGGCGGTGAGTGTTGTTAACTATATGCCTTCCTTTTAGTCTATCACTGCTAAATTAGGGATGGCTAGCGCAGATAGCCCTCGAGTAGATCAGCGCGAAATTCAAAGACAAACAAACAAATAAAAACCTTCTGGTTTATACCGATACTCAAAATCCAGAAAAGCAGAGATAACCATATAGCAATGGTAACACATACTGACACAGACAGCGGCACACCTTATATGTAGATAAGAGATAACCTTGTAGCAATGGTAACACATACTGACACAGACAGCGGCACACCTTATATGTAGATAAGAGATAACCTTGTAGCAATGGTAACACATACTGAAACAGACAGCGGCACACCTTATATGTAGCTATTTCTTAACAATATTGTTTGTTTCTAACAATACATTACTATTAAAGCCATTTTCTGAATTTGTAATCAAACACACACAAATATTTTGAGATTTATCAAGAAGTCACCAAAGCTAACTTTTTGGGCTTTTGTAAGTACACAAAGCACAAAAATGAGAAACATGTGTAGATGCACTTGTACGCAAGTCACATAATCAGCTAGTGATGTTTGAGGAAAATTCTTAATTTACCATTACACATTCATTCATGGAGTTAACAAAAGACAGGAATAATGAACAGTCCTGAATATTTTATAAACAATTTATTGTTAAAATATATTCATTCAAAGTTAAATTAATTTATTAAATTTGTATCATACAATCAAAGATATTTGGTTAGTAAACAGAAAAAAATATATATGAAGGTTCTTTCCAAATTATTTGGATTATCGTATTTTGGATTTTAGTTAGCCTTGTTTGGGTTGTGGATCTTTTCTTTCTAAAAGTACAATACTTTTATATTTTCAAAGAACATAACATTTATGATAGCCTATGTAATGCATCCTTTCTAATGACCTCATAAGTTAGAAATCTTTTTCATGACACAATTAATAATAGAGCTTTTGAAACATTATCACAGGAGCCAAATTCTTGTCGTCAGAGAATTTAAGGCACTAACATTTGCAACTTTTTCTTGACATTAACCTTTGACTTAGAATAAACTTGAATGAGGTTGTTTTTTCTCTCCTGTCTGGTTTAAATATTGTGTAACCTACAAAATAAAACCTACATTTCAATGAATTGAGCACTTCTTTGATTTGTTC